TGACCATGTTTAGTTCATTCTGCTCCATTTTTCCACTTGCAATTTGCATAGTAGATTCTGTTCTCTTACGTTTGTTTCAAAAATACCGTATTGAAGTGTAGAAACGTAAATGTTCTCATCCTGACTTACAGCCTAAGCAGCTGAGCACACTAAATAAAAAGCTCCTTTCACAGCAGCTATTTTGTGGGTATTATGCAAGATGTTCTGTGCTCTGATATAACAGCTCCTAAGAAGTGTGTTGCAACACGAATTTATAGCAAAACTTTATGCACTTAGTCTGGTAAAAGATGTTGGGGGTGGGAAAGAGAGCAAGCTGTTGTAAACTCCTATGAAGTACAGAAAACTTCTACTTTCCCTCCTTTCTAACAAGTGTAAACTATTGAGGTTAAGTAGGTGGGGCAACCGGAAGTAATTACTAAGGCCAGTGGCATTTTTGTGGTTTAATAAAGGCAGAAGCTAATTATTCAGTTTTTATTTAAGTGAAATGACGCCAAAAAGGAGGTTCCTGCAGAGCAGCTGCACTCCTTCAGTGTTACCCTAATTTACCACAGACACAACTGTCACAAACAGAACTTTTAAACTTGATACATAGCCACGAAAGTAAGGAGCCCTTTGTCTGGAGTGCATGCAGAAGAACTCCTTTATACAAACCAACCGGCAGATGACGGACAATGATGAAAATTTGATTCTTTGAAGTCATAATGGTCATTGAAATGTGTGAAATTCTGGTATTGAAAAGAGAGCGGCTAGCAAGACTCTAAATCCTGGGTGGTTGCTGGAAGCTTGCTGGGAGGTTTTTCTGTGTTTTGACATCAACTTCCCATTGCTTGTTCCCTGTTTCCTTTATTAAAAAAAAAGGGGGGGGGGGGGAGTCCTGAACAGTACATAGTTGATAGTGGTTATGTACAGTTTTTGTCTATGCATGCAAAGAAATGTCATAGGAGAAACATGACACCCTGTATTCTTTCTGACTGTCCCAGCTTGGTCTTCAAGCACTAGTCCCTGTCTTCCACCCACCCATTAGCCGAGTACTTTGTGCTCTGTCTTTCCCTTGAATTAGAGAGTTCTATTTCTTGTCCCCTTTGGAATTTGTGCTATTAGTGGAGTACTTAAAAGAAGGAAATTCTCGTTTCCTTTAAAAGTCATCTTCATGCCGAATACTGCTTTCACTGACACTGCCTCTGTGAACCAGTTTTTCTCCCTACTGTATAGCACATTTATAATTTCTTACTACTCCTTCCAGAACAGCTTTACCAGGCTTTCCACCATGACAAGTGTTCTTAAATAGTGTAAGTTACAATAAAGAAAAAACCTCCTCTTCATTTGTAAGCAATTTGATGTGATTTCTGCTATTTAAAAAAAGTGTTTTGTCCCTCTCAGCTTATTCCAAGAAGAGCCAAAATGCCTCAAAGTATTTTAATTTTTTGAATTACAAAAAAATTCAGAGGTTGCTGTTAAAAACCCCACCGCTATATATATTAAGAAAAACAGAATGTCAGAATGCACCTTTTAGATGATAGCCTGTGTTAAACATGTGAAGCAGGGTTGTTAATTTTTAGTAAAGCAAACTTATACAGTTCAAATCTCAAGTCTTTTATATTGTCACCTTATTATTTAGAATTTTGAATGCCAAACACCTCACTAATATTTTAATATGCTAATACAGCAAAATTCAGTAAGGAACGCTTCAGAAAAAAAAAAAGAGATAGTAATGTGAAACCAGCTGTCAAAAACATCTTTGTTTTGGAAAGTTGGTTCACAGGTAGTTTCAATGAGAACTTGAACTCAGAACAAAGCATTGAAGACACAGTAAAGAGTTCAACCCAGTGCAGCATAGATCTTTTCAAGTATTATATTGTTTTAATGGCATCTTGGAGCGGGAGCTTTAGCCCATTGAAAAGTCGCTTAAAGGACAGGTTCTTCTGTCACTAGCTGGAGCTGTGTGGATGAAATGATCACAATAGAGTGTTGTAATGCATTTTAAAAGTGTGAGAAATCAGTTTGTCTAGACTAAGAGTGCGCCTACAGGGAATAGGAATTTTAGAGCTTCTGTGCTCTTTAGGTGTCAAGTATGTGATAGATGCCAAGCCTTTTTATTCCATATCTTTGGCAACAGCTCAGCTATGCTACAGTACTTACATGTCTACAGCAAGCAAAACCAGTGATTTTATGTCAGGACAACTTGGGCTTCAGAAACCAGAAACTCATTGTCCTAACAACTGTCTGTTCAATTGCCAGCTTTAAAATGGGGAAGATATCAATAAACAATTGCTAGATTCCCAGAAGGCATGGAAACTTTAGCTATAATGAATCGAAGTATGGAGAGCTAGCAACACCATGTAGATATTTTAGTTTCAGAAAGTAGGCAGGTTTTAGTTTTCACCTTGAAAAGATTTTTATAGGATGAATCCTGTATTATTAGTGAAATAACTTTCATTTGGAGCCAACTGAGTGCCCGAAAAAACATGGCTTGAAGGGATTTACAGTTTGTCTGGGGTTTTGGTTTTGTTTTCATCCAGATGAACAAGTCTAGGCATTTCTTTGCTACAATTACCTCATAAATATAGCATTTGCTGGTTTTTAATAATCTTTTTAGATTATGTTCTGTATGCACTAATGTGTAGTGTTTTTATGATTCTCTGGTATAGAGGCTTCAAAAGAGGAAATTGTATATGTCCATAATGTTGTTTAACATAGTATCTTATTTTAATAATTCCAGATAATTCTGGAACAATTAAAAAACCTACAAATCTGAAGCATAAAATTCATACTGGACATATGAGTTACTGAGAATAATAATAGTTTAAAAAAAAATTCACAATATTGAGCTATTTTGAAGCTTGCATATTTGGAGGTATTTGATGATAACAAACCCAGAATTTTTGCATGTAGCAGATTATTTCAGAGGGGAAAGACTTTTTTTTGTGAATATTCTTACATTTTCTCAATAGGCATGTTTGTTAAATACAGAAATAAAGGCTAATATAGTACCCTATTCCTATAAACAGGCAAGCTGAAACATTGAAGCCCCACCAAACTTACAGTGCAGGTAGAAAACCCTTTTTGTTAAACAAAGCAGTTTGCCAATTCAAATAAGAAAACTTCAAGCTATTTCCTTCTAAAACTGTGGTTTAAGCTTCAGCAGTCAGAAATGCCAGTCAGTCAGGAGGTGTTTTACATACGTGCTGCAACATTCCAGTGACTGGTAGTGTTTCTTTTTCATATCACTGCTAGACTCATATTAAAAATAAACATTAGTTGGTCCTAATGAAAGCATTTATAATGGAATTGTTAAGATATTTTGACAGTTTATTTTGGTGGTCTGGATAGAAATGTCAGAAGTTGGAAAATTAATGTGCATGCTTGTTTGTTTCCCCTACTGTTCTAATTGCAAATACAAGTCAAATGCTTTAGAACTTGCTCCCTTGTGTAGTTTTGAGGGACTGATCTCCCAAAATTTGTTTTCTGAAGTAAAACGAAAAATGAGACTTGCCTCATTTCAAAGGATGATCTGGTGACAGCACCAAGAGCTTTTAAGTTTGCCACAAAACAAAATCCCATGAAGTTAGTAGCTACAGACATGTAAAGCCACAGTGTTTTATTTAAACTTGTTTGCCTTTTAATTCAAGTCATGGCAGTACTGGTGAGGTGAGTTCAATATGCCCAAAGTTTTGCTGCACTTTTTTGGACTTCTACCAGTTTGCTGTTTGATCCTGGAGAGAGGAGGGGTGGGGAGGGGAGGGCAGGGAGGGAGACCAAGGAGCTCCCACTGGCCTTTTAAGTATGTAAGGAACAGCAGTAGTTTAGCATCCTTAGAGATGGATTTAATGTTTGATTTCACTCTTTACTCTACTAGGGTGAACTGACAGGTTAATTTTATGTAATTACTGTTTAGTTTTTAGCAAGAAAGTTCACTTTGATTATATCAGATGCTGCTGAGGGTAATTTTTCACAGCAATTCTTGTGAGGTTTTTCCCTATCTTATTCTTTGTTAAAGTCAGTTAATATTTTTAGGCTGTTTTTGTGATCCTTAAGTTTTTATCTTAGGTTTATTTGTTGAGGGCTCACAAGCCAAGCCTTAGTAGAGGAGGGCATCCCAGTACTGACTATATACAATGTTACAAGCCTTTTTTTTTTTTTTTTTCTTCTTTGAAGGTTGGAATCTCCTGAATGCTTTTGTCCTTCACAAAAATACCGAAGAATGTTACCGTTACAAAATGTTCCTCTCTTGATCTTGAACGTCAACAGAAGAGTTGACTCTCGAAAGCTGATATTCATAGCTTGAAACACAGCAAGGGGTCAATTTTATGTAATAACTAATGGTTAGAGAAATAAGAGAGTTGAATTCTAGTACCTGCTCTACAGTCTCAAGCAGTCAATAGATTATTGTGTGAAAGATAACCTCCTGCCTTTTCCTTCATGCTAAGCATAGCTTCTTGAGTCAGCGTGGATGTTGGTGCCTCTTAGTTATATACAGACTTAAGCCCAAGTGAAAGCATACTGTAGCACATAGTTGGCTGGCTAGGATTTTGGTGAATGAAGTTTAAGCTCCTAATCGTAATGTAGAATTTCGGGCTTTGTCGATGTTTCAGTCTGTGCTCTAATATTTTCTTTAAGGGAGAAAGAAGAGTTTACGTTTCCGCATTTGCTTTAGCTGGTGCAAGTTGGAGCAGTCCTGACTTTGCAACCGTGGTCAGAGGATGGGAGAGAATGTCCTGTCCCTCCTTTGGCACTAGCAGTTGTGTAGCTGGGAGATGAGCAGGTTCAGGTAACTAATCCATGCAAAATCTAATTCAGATAGGGAAAGCAGGATGATAGAAGCCCCAACATGTATCAGCTTCACTTTTATTCAACTGGACTCATAACATACTTCTCTGCAATTTTTTTCTTTTTTTGTAACTTTAAAAGTAAAGCATGAAATACAAAAAGCATAAGCAGTATTATTTTACAAGCCTTTTATGTGAACCCTTTTTTAACAAGTTTCATTGTATTTTTCATAGGATATCACTGCTTTAACTGGTGTTCCAGATGAGCACATCAAAACCAGGAAAGTTCACATTTTTGTTCCAGCACGTAATGCAATGCAGGCAGGAGTTAACAATACAAAGAAATGGAAGATGGAATTTGATAACAGGGAGCGCTGGGAGAACCCTTTAATGGGCTGGGCATCTACGTGAGTAGTTACTGAATTTGGAAATAGTTTTCTGCTATATTTGGCTCTTACTAGTCATGTAAATCTTAAGTTTGAAATGTCCTTTCTACCTGTAAATCTACTTGTGTTTTAACAGTACTTACAGTAAGCGGTTGGGTTTGTTAGTCGTATGATTAATGATCTGTTATGTTTAAAAGCAGATTTTAGCCCACAACATTATCTGGAAGACTTTGAAAAAAGTGTTGACAATCAGAAATTTCAATGATTACATTTGTGGTGATGTTACTGTATGGCAGCATCAGGGAAAGAAGGTTTTTAGTTACCTGAAGCAGTAAATTCTTCTCAGCTCTCAGTTGTATCTTTTAGATTTGGTTAAGCATAAAATAACAATACTTAGCCTCTGGATTTTTTTTTTTATGAAGCTTTATAAGTATTCTGAAGATCTGAAACGAGGAGCCATAACTAATTTAAAAAACAAAAAACCAAGCCTATTTAAAATATTACAATGTTTTGTTTCAATGTTGCTAATACTAGTAGTAAGAACTCTTAAAAATTTGCCAAAATCCAGGAAAGCACTAATCTTAGCTAAATATGCTATAATTTGGAGATGTAAGTATAACTTAGATGCAGCTAATTTTAAATTCTTTTTTCCTATATAAATATACTACCTACATTTTACAATGTGGTTAGAATTCCTATAAACTGTGAGGACAATGCCAGCAATTCTCCTGAATATATTGTAATTTTTATTTGAAGCTGTCTTGTTTGAGGCGTATTCAGAAAAGTTAATTATTCTACGTAAACAAGAATCAACCACTAGAGATTATTTTTCAAACTTCAGAAAGGATATAATGTGTATTGAAAATGTCTGGCTGCAATCATATTAGCACTTATGATCAAAGAACACAAAATTGTATGAAAAAAAAACGTTAAAACCTTAAATATTAAATAGTTTGAGGACACATTTTTTGAGGTTTATTAACATTCTAAATTGGTCACAGAATGATTTTTTTTCGTTTTTTCTTTATATATAAAATAAATGTATCCAGAAATATTAGTTCAAAATAACACTGAAATCAAGTCTTCCTGTTATGTTGGTTTTCCATAAAAAATTGAGGAGGCTTACAACCTGTAACATCTCAGTTGTATTGGCATTGCAAAGCATTAGGGAAGCCAAGCTCAACTATTGTGAGCTGAATATAAAAACTGAATATGAATTAAAATATTAATTGTATTAAAATAGTTTGTTAAAATACCTGTTTTAAAACTTTAAGCCTGTATTTAACAATGACCTCATCTTAAGCACGTCCTGGGGTTTTTCACCATTTCATCTTAAGCATATTTAAATTGCTGTTTCAGAGGTTAAGATTTCGGTGATTTAATACATGTATGCCTTGGATGACTTGACTACTGGAGGTAGCTATTACATTCAGCAAGTAATAACCAGGTTGTTTCACGGGGCCCAAATTAATAAAGTGATAGACTGTTGACCAGCAATACGCCTTCCCTCCTGTTTGGTTGGCCCCCCAAGTGTCTGGCCACTAAAGTATGGTCTATTTATACCTCCGCACAGATTATTATAACACTGTAGGAGGTGCCAGTAACACCTGCTTTAATTCAGGTTGAATTTAACTGTTCTTCTAATCCCCCTTTGCTTTTCAGCTGACTTTAACCTCCCCAGACAAATTATTTTCTGGGTGGGATTTTGCATGATCTCAGACAAAACAATGGCTTTTAACTTTTCTAACAGTTATAACTATTTGTGCTAAATAAACCACCTAGAAAAACGAGCCATGGTATTTCGGGCTTTACCTGTATGTTAAATTGTCCTGGAGTGAGCTTATTGTGGGAATTTAAAAAGGAATGGCTGTTTTGAATGAATCCATCTCTGCATATGTTTTTATTTTGGGGTAGGGAACGGAATATTTCCTGTGTAAGCAGGCTCCAGGTAGGGCAAAAGCAAGTGCTGTTTTGAGAATTGACACTGCTAGGTTAAGGGTTTTGTAAACTAGTTTGTATCTGTTCATTTTTTAAGGAATTCTCACAAAAACTATTAGTGGACATTCTAGTAATTTCAAATCACCGTTCAACACCCAGAAATACCTAACAAGAGTGTCTTTTCTTCAGATTTAATTTCTGCGAAGAACAGTTCTTAGAAGTTTTCCCATTTACTTTTAAATAATGTAATGGGATTAGTGGATTAGAGCCCTTTAGTGTCTAGGGATTAGAGCCTTTTTTCTCCTAATTCAATATACTTATTTACCTGTAGGTCTTTGCTATATTTCTGTCATTTTACAGTCTTGTTTGCTTTTTTTGTTGCATTTGTTGTTTCTTGGATATAGTTTTTTTCAGTGAAAATTATCTAGTTGTAAATCTAAATAAAATGGACACATGGCATTTTTTTGTAACTGGGAGGTTTCATTACTATGGGTAGTTCTTGAGTACATCTTTTAATATAAAGCTGTAAACAAAGAAACATGGGAAATGCATGGTTTCCATTGTACAGGATCTCATAAGAGAATAAAATGTGGAATCCCAGTTTGAAATGACTGATAAGACAGTTTAGGGCAGGTGTAGGAAATCCTGCAGCACTGTGATTGCTGACACTATCAGGACATCATGCTGGCCGTCCTGAACTCCAGTTTGCTCACAGATTATTACAAACTTAAACATGTGGAGAGCTCATTTATGGAAAGAAATCAAAAAGCTGTATTTGGATTGGATGAAAGATGATCCCACCTGAAAACAGAACAAATCATTTCTGCACAATCCTCATTTCCAAACTGCTTCTGTTCTGGAAGGTTTTCACCAAACTTGAAGTGCTGAACAGGCACCAGTCCCTTACTATGCTTCAGACTTAAAATTCTTTGTTCCCACTTAGTAGTGTTGATAAGATTTTTCCAACCCCAGTCACGAAAGAGAAAAACAATAAGCAAAAGTTGTCATGGTATTGCAGTTTATTTGAGTCACTTGATTCTCCACTGATCACGTCGTGGACCAATTCTTAGTTCCTAATTCTCCTTACTGCCTTTATAAGAGAAATCTTTAGATGTCTTTAAGAGAGCCCATCTTGGTGGCTTGTGAAAGTGTAATTTCTGCCTTTTTCCTTTTTTTTTTTTTTATTGGGGATTATATTGGATATATAGTGAACTCCATTTTTCCATGTGTACATCAGATAAAATTACATTGTTGTCTTTGCTGGAAGCTAGATTCCCACTCTTCCCCTCCCCCTCTGCCAGTCACAGGCTTTGTCCTTTATTGTAGAGAGTTCAGTGTATCTGTGGTTGCTTTTTCTCTTCATTTACCCTTCTAGCTTCAAAGAGAGAACAGTTGAGAGGCAGCTCCTTCAATAGTTTGTTGCAATTTGGTCTTGTCTTCCTGGTTGTCTCCCAAGCTCATGTGCAGTGTTGTCTCAGGGAAGCATTATCTAATCATTGTGCTGCTACAACTGGTATCTTATTTCTCTAAAAGTTTTGTGGGTTAATTTTTAGAACCCTTTTTTTTTCCATCCTTTGCCATTGTTCTTAAAATGAGCTTTTATAGCAACAAATAAGGCAGTTTGTTTTTTTTAACTGAGATTTTAATTTGTTCCAAAAAGCTTTTTACTGTTTGATTCCTTTCAGAAATGCAGTTGAGGAATACCTGATCACATATAACTAACCACTGTGTGTTTAGTTAGCTAGCAGATTGTGTTTCTGAGCTTCGTTTTCAGTGGTGGCCTGCAATCTGCTTGCTGTACTGGAATAATTTCTGGAGGTCATGTGACCCCAGCCAAAACTGAACTCTTGAGGTTTTTACATACTTCCCAGTCTCTGATTAATTCCTGCTCTGCTCACTTAGATATTCTGCTCTTTTCTGTATAAGATTATTCTTTCCCTCGCTGCTCTACCGACTCCTCGTCTCCTTGAAATGTTCAAAATTACATTAAGCCTCCTGGTCTTCCAAAAAGAGAGGGACTACACAGCTTTAAAAATTAAAAAGATTGTTGCAGAGCACTTACTATAACCTCAGCAGGTGGTTAGACGTGTTTGTCTAATAAAAAATTAAAATACTAATTTCTGCAAGTTTAACAGACTGAAAGAGTGAAACAACACTTAAAGTAAGTGTTAATCCTGGAAATAATTAAAAATAAGGGAATTCTGAATGGCTTGTGAGGTGGTGTACTACAAAAAGTTGTTTAATACAGCATTTGAGGTACAGATAACAATTATTTCATATTTTGAATGTGCTTAAAATTTGTCATCTGTTTTCTTGCAGAGCTGATCCTTTATCCAACATGGTTCTTACTTTCTCTACTAAAGAAGATGCCATTGCCTTTGCTGAAAAAAATGGTATGTATTGAGTGTGAGGGATTCAGCTTTCTATAGGCAATCTTGATCTCAAAGTATTAACAACAGAAAGTACAGGATAAAGTACCTTCCCTCTATTCCACAAAATTGGTAGACCATTAGTGCTCTACTTGAGGAAGAGGAAAACAGGGGGAAATATTTCCAAGGGTGCTGAAGGCATTGAATCTAGGCCTTCCACTTTCTGGAAAAGTGTTCCAGCCTCTTAGCATTACTATTGCAATGCTTTTGCAAGTATCTGTGTTTTGAATGAGAACTGAGCCTTGCTCAGGTCTTGGAGGAAAATTAATATTAATACTTTATTTTTAAGAGTATCCCAGGGTAGGGGTCCCTGCTACATGGCAGTGGGATTTTTACCTGAAGGCACAACGTGAGCATCTGAATTCTAGTTAAGGAAAGACTGTCAGAACCCTTGTGAGTGTTTGATAATCAGAAAAACTAGAATTAACTGACTACCAAGTAAGCATGTTGGACTTCAGTTTTGGTGGTGTGGCAGAATGGATTTATCGTAGAATCATAGAATATCTCAAGTTGGAAAGGACCCATATAAGGATCATCGAGTCCAACTCCCTGCTTCTCGCAGGACTACCTAAAACTAAACCGCATGACCAAGAGCATCATCCAGACACTCCTTGAACTCTGACAGGCTTGGTGCCATGACCACTTCCCTGGGGAGCCTGTTCCAGTGACCGACCACCCTCTCGGTGAAGAACCTTTTCCTGATGTCAAAGTGAACTTCCCCTGATGCAGCTTCATTCCATTTCCTCGTGTCCTGTCGCTGGATCAGCACCTCCCCTTCTGCTGCTCCCCTTGAGGAAGCTGTAGATTGAGGAAGTTGTACCTAACTCTTCCCAAGTACAATCTAAAGTCTAAACACTTAGACTTGATGATTGTTCATATTTGAGAAAAAGACAGTAGAAAAGCCAGTATCATTACTTAATATTTTTAATGCTAATCATACAGAAGGACTGTATCTGTAAACTTATTTGATTATTTAGGCTTGTATTTTCTCACAGAATTATGGTACTGCAAGCAGCATCCATAATCTCAGCCTTTTGAATATACACCAGTCCTTTTATGTGTTGGTATGGATTTTTTTGCTGCATTTTTTGTGGTTTTTTTTTTAATCAGTTTCATTTTCCTTAAAGAGCTAGGCTTGATGCTTAGTGCTCACGGATGTGAGGAAGGTTAATTGCACTGAGTTAAAGCCAGGAACAATGCACATGGAGTGTAAGCTTCTTCAGAAGCCTTCCCTGCAGTCTACAGCTTTCAACTATATTTAGGCTGGGGTAAACAGGTAGTAAAGTTTCTTGGTCAGACCACATTGTGCAAAGTTGTTAGATGGCTTATGTTGTACACCCAGAAGACGGGGTAAGTCCATTAACTTATACAATTAAGAAGCTGGGCCATTTCATGTGCAATTTATTTGCACTTTTTAATGGTAAAGGCAAGTATTTAATTCCTCTATTTCTCTTTGAATAGATCTTTTTTTTTAACTTAATAGTCTTATTTTTATTGAAAAATAAATTGTATTCACTAAGAAATTAATAGGATCATCATATTTGCATTGGATATACCAATGACTGTGCAATTTCAATAGTATTTTGTAATGTTTTATGAACAAATATGAACTTCAGGACAATCTGGTGTTGCTTTACTTAAGCTTCTGTATTGTTCATGCTATTTCTGTTTCTTGGGAAATTCAGCCTATAAGAGAAAAAACCTGAATCCTGGCCTATATATCACTATATTAATGAGATACTTTTGTCATCTCTTTGGACGTGTTATATTTTGTCCTCTAGAAATGCAGATTCAAGTAAAATACTTGATTTGTTCAGTGTAGAAAGTTTATGCCTTTGCTGAATTAGTAATGAATCTCCATTGTGCAGGAAAACAACAAAGAAATTCTACCAACTAAACTAAGGCTGTGACTCAGTATTAGTATTATCAGTTCAATTTTCACTTAGCTTGCACTCTTAATTTTACCATAATTGAGAACTACCAAACTTTTCTGTGGATACTGGCTTGCCTAAATCATTATTCCATTTTTATTTAAGGTGGCTTAGTTTTATGTGTATGATATGTGCATAATATTTTCTGTAGTAATAGCTTCAGTATCAGATGTAGCTGGAAATATAAATTTTACAATATTTAGTTCTGCTTTTAGGAAGAAATGAGAAACTTAGGCACACATTTACAGTGGAACTTAGCTTCTAAACTGAGGTGTTAGTGAAACATGTCTAAGTCTAGGAACACAAATATTTACCTCTCTGTCCTTCCTGTATGAACCACCCAAGTTTTCCATTACAAAATTTCCTTAAGAACCTCGAGTTTAATTTCTGCAAATCCTAGATACTGCAGGTATTTTGATATGATTGGGAAACCTAAGAGGTCTTTCTCACCTAAGAACTTCAGGAACCTGAGGCAAGCTATCTTTCTGCCTGCCCCATCTCATGTGTTTTCTAATGTAGGAATAACACCACTGAATACAGTAACGGGAGAGATCTCTGTCCAAAATATGACAGCTGAGGATGGTCGGAAGTCGAGGCAAGGAGGAAACACTTGTAACTAGACGAAACTAAAAGTTTAGCCTGTCGACCTAAATTCTTTTTTGTCCTGTCCGACATCACCGAGGCAGTTGTTTAAAAACATACATCTTCAGTAACAAGGATGGAGAGTTTTTCTACTCCACAATAACCTTTAGTCAGGTGTTGAGGGTGTTCTTTCAGAGACGATGAAATCTGCTTTCTGTCCACTTGGCTTGTACAGCAGGGTTCTGGGCAAGAGTGACCTCCCCCACCATTGTGGTACTTTTATAAAAGTGACCTCTGCTCTCTGTCATGAACAACTGAAGGTGCCTATCTCAAGGAGGCTGTTGCAGAGTGTGAAACCTTATCATATATGGTGGCCTCTTGTAATACAACGTTAGATGTAACTAATTTTGTGGATGTTGGATAGCTATGGCAGCCCAAGGCTGGCAACTGCTGGCAGTTGCGAATCTCTCTAGGAGGCACTCGGCTCCTCTCTATCTAGTGTATAAAAAGATGAAGCAATAACTTGGGACTGTAGATTCCATTCCAGCAGCCAAGTGCCTCAAAGTTAGGTGTTACAATGCTGAGTGTTGCAATACCAAGGTCTGTCTCTGGATCTAGTTGTGGCTGTTTACTCAAGCTTATATTTTTAATCAGAACAGGAGGCAAAAGCCAGTGCTCTCACAGATGGAAAGAATATGTTTTTAAAACCTCTATTCCAGTGTTTCTTACGGAGAATAGTTAACTTGGAAATTAACATTGGTTCAGCCTAATAAACATGAAGAAAATGTTTGTATGACATTTGTGAATACACAAAGTTGAGGCACAGTGGCGTGACAACTTGTGTATCTTACGAAACATGTTTTGATGTGTAGATGTAGCTTGAGCGTTTTCTGTGAACATCTTAAATGTAAAAGTTCAGATATATGTTAAACCTTTTAGGACTTAGCAATTTTTTTTTTTTTTAAACTAAGGAAGAAAAGTATCATCTTATTAGTACCAGTTAAAACTGAACTTCTAGCTTCAACTCAAGTATCTCAACTTTGAGTGAAATGTTGCAGCTAGAGAGACCAAACTTTGGAATACTGAGTGCTGCCCTGGCAACTTTCCAGGCACCTGGAGGCTGCAACCAATTTGCATTTTGATTTACATAAACACTAATGTCTCCACCTCCTCTTATCTGACATTTTTTAGCATTTCTCTTGCTTAACTATCACATAATTTACTTGTCTTCTATCACTTCGTTCCCTTTTCTTTTACTCCTAATTTTTTATGTTCTTATAAAAATGTTAAGTATTAAACTCCTTTCTAATGCTGAAGTTTTTTCTTTGCTCTTCCTTTCTTTGATCCTCCCACCCTTCTTTTTTCTCTAGCTTTCCAAGGTCTCCATTCTCTCCCAACCTTTGGGATTGATCTGTATACTATTTTTTTCCACTTTTCCTTATCTTTATTTTCTTTTCCTGTCCCTGCGTACACAGAGCCCTAGTGCTTCTGTGATGCTATGGAGTTGTGGAGCTGTGAATTTGCAGGACATTCAGGGTTCCCTGTTGAGTTTCACTGATGACTGTCAAGTTTTTTGCAGGAGTAAAGAAAATGGAGGTACGTAGTATGGTGAAGTCTTATCAACTGAGAGAACGGGCATATGTCACATCTATGGCATTTCAGTATTCTCTGCTGCCAACTACAAAGGAATAAACTAGTGGATGCCTACGTGCAGAAAAAGATATTAAAAGGTTTAAGTTGCATTTGCTCTATATTGTATGCTGAGAATATTTAGAATTCTCTTTGTTTCTTGTCTCCCCTCGCCATTTCCCCTGTAACCTGCAGGCTGGAGCTATGATGTTGAAGAGAAGAAGATTCCAAAACCTAAATCCAAGTCTTATGGTGCAAACTTTTCTTGGAACAAAAGAACAAGAGTGTCTACAAAATAGGTTGGCATTGGCTGTCTGACTGTGAATAAAGTCAGCTGTGCCGTATTTATAGTCCATGTATAATACATCTCTTAATCTCCTAATAAATTTGACCTTTAAACTACAGATGCATCTTGTGATGTCTATTTAAAATGTTTTTGATGTCTCCAATTGAACCTGTTACAAACTTCCCTATAAATAGAGGAGATTTGGAGTGTTCATACTTCTAAAAAATTGCTGTACTAGGAATCTATCAAAAGGAATGTTTGAAATCAGCTGCAACTTTAAAGATTATGGTTTATCTTTGATGGTAATTTTATATTCACCATCTTGTTTAAACCTATCAGCCTTGCATATACAAATTCTCTCAATAGAAGCTGGGCTTTTTTCTTTCTATACAGGAGAAGGTTGTCGGTTGAAGAGCAAAGTATGATAAATAAATCATAACATTTGAATATAACTCAGACTATTCTGTATAAATATATATTATATAACCTGCTTTGTGCCCAAATTAATATTGTCATTATTTCAGAAGCATTCATGACTGGAATAGAAAGCACTGGGTTTTGTGTTGGATATGGGGGAGGTTTAGTCCAAAAGATTGAGATTGCAATTGTTTCTCTGTGATGTTCTTCAAAAGTGAAACTAAGCCAGGTAAATACTCGCAAATTAAGTCAGAAGAGCATCAAGTGCCTCACACAGCATCAGCACATACTAAGTATATAATTACAGTTACATTTTTTTATTGCTAGTTACATGTTTATCTGCATTGAGGTTTCCTGTTGCCTAACAAGAGATGTGGTGATAGCATCTCAGCCTTAACATCAAATATATAGCCTAAACTCAGTTTGTCTTACGTGACGTTAAATCATTAATTTTAATAATGCACAATATTGTGTTTGGAATCCGTGTTTACATATCTATGGCTTTTGATTTATTCACTTTAACTTTTACTTAACAAATTGAGGTATCAACACATAATCAGTGAAATCTATTACAAGTTGGGGGAGTGTACACCTTTTTCATATGCAACTGAGAGTTTTAGCCCAACTGTCACAAAAGAAACAGTTGAGACAACTCTCTCCACATAGATCTAAAGAATGGTGTAAGTGCTATGCACTGAATTCTAGCTAAAAGAAGGCATAAAACTACCTTGTGTTACCCAGATTTGGTTACATTCTTGTTTCAGTTTTGACGAGCTGCCCTATATGCATTTCATATATGTATTCCAGCTAAGCTTAATATGCTGATCTTACTAAGGAGACAGTAATAAGAAAAGCCATTTGTTGTTTTTTTTTTTTCTTCTGTCTGTTACAAGTGAAGAGCAGCAAGATCTTAATTTAATGGTCTTCAAGCTTTATAAGATTGTCAACGTTAAAATTGAAAAGTGCTTGGGTATCTAACGCAGCAGATGCACAGCTTGGTTTTTGAAATTCAGGGAAGTCCAGGGAAATGACTGATAGATGTTAGATACCTAACATTATCTTTGGACACCTAATATATGAAATTGCTGTATGTTAACGTATACTTCTTGTAACTAGAAGAAGTTTCACATGGAGCAGAGTTTCATTTTTTTGTTTCTTCTGCTAAGATAATGGAAATATTCAAAGGAGAATTCGTTCAGTCCCCTCCCCTCCCTGAGGAAGAAAGCTTTTTCTTTTCTTTTTTCTTTTTTTTTCCCAAATGCATGTGTTCATTATGATTCTGTACTGTGCACCCCACCTTGAAGTCTTTAAGTCACGTTTGAGCCCAGACCTTCTTTTCCCCTGATCACTTTCCTGGGACTTGGATTTTTTTCTCCTGTTGGATGGCTTCTTAAGAATGAGCATGCTGACAATGGAAGAGAATTGATTATCATTGCTGTAGTCTTCAAACCCTAGAAGTGAAATTTAGTGCAAGAGCTTGCAGGGGACCAGTGCCAACAGGAATTTATTTTAGAGATCAAAAAATCTACTAGATACTAAACTTCATTACCCTTTCATTAGCTTACCAGAAAACTACAGCACTGGGCTGGAACTGAAATTGTACAAGATGATCTGACAATCTTTAGTTAAGTACCTTCAGAAGTGAGTATTTCATTGGTGAAGTCCAGCTTCTGTCTTCTCAGCAGTGTGTTATGACAAGTAAAATTGCTCCCAAATCTAGAAGATGTCAAAACAAAAGGCACAACAGGTAAGGTACCATAATTAGGTTTTTTAGTATCCTCAACCATTGATCTGAAAATGGAAATACAAAGAGATTTTGAAGACTCAAGGCTAATAAAAATGCTGAATGAGATTAGAGATTCATCTTGGTGGTAGATGTAACTGTGCTGCATCCAACTAATCAAAGCTTTTCATGGCAATAATATTTCAAACCTCTGGAAGTATCAAAATCATTAATGGGGAAAGAAAAAGTTTAAAGCTCTCAAATAGAACATGTTCTTTACCCAGTGGGATTTGCATGCGTTACCACCTTACGTTGCAATAACAACCAAGAAAGCATTAAAGAATTACAGGACAATTGCATGCCAGCATTGCAGAGGAGCCTTACATAGGTGTTATATTTACATTCTTTCACTGAGCTGTGTAGATTTGAGAGGTTTTCTTCACAGTTTTGTAGCTTCCATTATTGTGGAAAGTCTTATGCAAAAAATTAACAGGCTGATCTGAAGTAGTTTACACTTCGACTTGTGTAGATACATTGTGTGATGTTCTGGAGGCAGAACTCTGCTACTGGACAAGGTCCTTTCCCAGTTCTAGCAAATTAGTCCATGGTATCACCAGTTTTCTGAAAAAGGCTTATTATCTGTCGTTGCTGTCTCAGCCAGCTACATGTCACAATGAGATTTGGATTAGTCCTGTCAAGTCTGGGTGAAATTGCCTTCTTTTAAGAAAGAAGCAACATCATAGTCTTTTTCCTCCCGTATGCTACTCCTTTTACTCCCATCAACTCTACAAGGTATGTGGCACATATCTTTTTTTTTTTTTTTCATGTCTCTTGACTACAGGAAAATTTTCATACATGAGTTTTGAAAGGTTGGCCGTTCCAATACTATAATTTCTATTTAAAGCCAGGAATGTTGTGGTGACATTTTAACTTCACTAATAAACCTCCCTTTTTTTTAATTTTACCCCACATTTGCATTTCCCCCTTCCTGCCACTTTTTCTCCAAGTTCCTTGCAATGAATTCTGTTAAATGTATGTCTGTTTACATCAATTCAGTGATGAACCACAGAAAAACAAAACCCAAACCAACCCTGTTTAGCTGTCTTCTGAATGCTCAGAATGGTCCTAATCTTTATATTTTATGGCCTTTCTTTACCTAAGCCAAATTGAAATGCTGGAAGTAAACGCTCCCCGTTCTATTGCTGACTACAGATAACAATATCTACTTTGCAGTATAGGACTCCCTACAAAATGTGGGTGCATACCTCCAAATACTGTGATATATATTGCACATTTCTGTTGTGATAAAATGACATTTGCAGAATACCAACTTATTTTGAGGGTTGGCAGCATTAATAGTTCCAACGAACAATTTTTTTATTATAACAAAGGCCCTGCAACTCAAAATCATGATGTTGTAATGGAACCGAAAGACTGTCAGGAAACAGTTTCAGATTTCTAGCAGTGTATTCCTTAACTGTGCAGTTTGATGGATAATTTAAAACAAATCAGACTACTAAGTGATACTATGAAATGGAAAATCTAATTACCCTTATCTACAAAGTTTTGTTGTGGTAGAAGAGGAGAAGCTAATTTGGATTAATTTTAGTTTGTGCCTGTAATTTCACACCAGGAACTTGCGTAGTTTGGTTTTGCCAGAGATACAGTTAATTGACCTTACGTTTAGTTACTGGGCATACCAACATATTTTGTTATTCCAGAAAGAAAAAAAGTGCAAATAAACCTGAAATAACCTAAAAAAATAATTTTAGACAGTTGTACAGTAAGTTATGGTATGTCTGGTAAGGCAGCTTGCTTTGATAAGTCCTTGTTCTCATTCCTACATTCTGAGAGGGATTTATTTTTAATTGGTACTTGGTTAATGCTGGAGTATATCACCAACATCACAAGATTGCTGAAATGTGCCTACAACTTAATAGAACAAAAAAAGGCAAATTATTTTGAGATGGTATTAAAATGTGGATTTCAGTTGGATTTAAATACTGATTCTTCACATCCACGTTCATCATGAGAGAAGGTAGAAAGGTCCCTATCTTGAACCCTTCCTGCACAAAAAATGTGTGTGAAAACCTTTTTGGACAAGTTGATTAGAATAAATACAAAGGTCGGGCAGTAGTCTTGTGAGAGTCCTGAAGGAATTCAAATTTGAAACCGTGTAACTACTATCTGTGGCTTAAACATTTTGCTTATAACTCTCTCTACCTGAATAACAGATGACAGGTTTTGGGTTTTGGTTTATTGGGTTTTTTTTTGGGGGGGGGGGTTACCCCCAAAGAAAGTCTCTATAAATAGTGCTGTGAACAGATGTGACATAACAATGATATGTCAATTTGGCTATTTTAGACGCAATTCACTTTCATGTTCTTCAGAGGAATTGGTGAATATGGGGACAAGGTGATTCAAGTAGTCCATTTGGATTTACAGAGGGCTTTCAAAAAAGGTCTTGTTGAGTTACAGAGAGAGGCAACAGCATACTTAAAGACATAAGTATCTTCTGTCTGAGGAGCAAATCTCTAGGGTGGAATTAGCTCTTCAGTCTACAGGAGAGAGGACTGAGGATGAGTATGATAGTGGCCTCTTAAAATCACAAGTGGTGCAGAGAATAGTGTATAATTATTCACTGTTTTTCATACAGAGGCAGATCAAAAAATCTCATGAGGATGCAGCTTAAAAATAAACTAGTATGTTTTCACATAGCAGATTTTGAAATTCATTGGCAACTTTTTGACTACCAAAACTAACTTTACACTAGCTCAAATTCAACACAAGAAATGCATGCAATAAAAGTTTGCATCAAACATAAAATAGCATCCTGTTTAGAAAAATCCCTGAGCTAAAGGCTGCTGACAGCTGGGAAAGGGTATCCTTGGAGTAGCCCTGTTTTTATGTTATTTCTTCGGCAGTCACTATGAGCCACTGCCAAAGCTGGGTTTATTCAGGTGGATATCCTGATCTGC